ATTCTGTTTTCACTTTGTCATTATGGGGTACTAAGTGTAGATTAATGAGAAAAAAAATGAACTTGAACAATTATAGTATCAGGCTGCAACATAACAAAATTGAAAAAAGTGAAGGCAGTCTGAATACTTTCCGAATGCACTGTAGGTCACTGCCTAATCCTAAATCAGACACTGACCTGTCTAGTCCAATGTTACTCCCCAGGATTTCAGGTGGGGTCTTTCCCTGCTCTACCTAGAAATGCAAGGGATTAAATAAGGACGCTTTTGTATGCAAAACATGGCCTTTACCTACTACTCTGTGGATCTACCATCAACTCTTCAGTTCTGATTTGCAAGTCTGGATAAAATAAAACAGTGTTTTTGTTTGTTGTTTGCTCATTCCACAGTTTTTCTTTATGCAAGACTTCATGCCTTAATTTCTCTGTTTCTCTATTTCTTATATCTTCCAGTGTAAACTTCAAGGATCCACAAGCAGTTAGAGCCCTGACGTGTACACTGCTGAAAGAAGATTTTGGACTTCAGATTGATATACCATTAGAAAGGCTGATTCCAACTGTTCCCTTGAGACTTAACTATATCCACTGGGTTGAAGATCTAATTGCTCAGCAAGATACTGCTGCTAAAGGTTCTGTTACATGGGGAATAGACATAGGTATGTTGTCCTGTAGACTACATGGATATGATCATGAAGTCACCAGGAATTAAGCTCAATTCAAAGGAAATTCTACTTTTTTTTTTTTTACTTGCTACTGTTTATGTCCTAATAAGTAACATAAGTGATACCCTTTTTGATGCAGAATTCATTTAGTAAAGGTTTACTTGCTGCAATAGACTAAAATTATGATTTCCTTGGAAATGCATGGAAGTTAGTATGTTTTTCCTATTTTTCACTTTAAGTTAATCAAATTTTCCTTTCTTGAATATGATATAGGTACTGGTGCATCTTGTATTTATCCATTACTTGGTGCAACTTTGAATGGATGGTATTTTATTGCAACAGAAGTGGATGATGTGTGTTTCAGCTATGCCAAGAAAAATGTAGAACAAAATAACTTATCTGATCTTATAAAAGGTAACCTTTTGTTTCCCTTTTCTAATTCCTAGGCGGAGTACTTTATCTGCTGTTTTACAAACAAAGTCATCCATAAATTGCATGATTTAATGGCTGTTCATTTTGATTTTAAATTACTTTGTTAAAGACTAGCAGCAGTGAATAGGAAATCAATTAACAAAACATCTTTCCTTCCAGTCACTCCAGTCCATTAAGAATAGGTAATAATGGCAAGAAGCTTTTAAAGGCTAATCATAATTTAATTTATTTGGCTGTATGAGTTTCCAGTTGTTCCTTTTAATTTTTCTTCAGTTGTTGCCACTGAAGTACCACTAGGTTTATAATAAAAATGTAGCTATTAAACTGAGCAACTGAGGTCTAGAATTAGTTATATGCTTCACTTATGTTCTGAACATGAAGTGCAAAAAAGCTATATAATATTTTAAAAACGTTTACTAATATAAAGAGCCTAGATAAATATTATTTATTTTTGTTGAAGGCTTTCACGGCCGGCATACAATGGCTGGTGTGGGTCTTCCAGGCTGTGTGGCCGTGT